GTGAAGAAGAACCCGGCGAATCAATTTTGCGGTGGAGATTTTGCCCGGCGAAGAAAGGTCGATGATCGGAAGTAGAAGTGACGTGTCCATTTCTCCTCTCTGTTTCGAAACTGATTTTGCTTTTCATCGCTTTGACATTGATGAATAAAAATTATCTACAAATGAAGTGATGGGCCTTAATGGGCTCACCAAAATGTCAAATCACAATTTAAGCCTCTTTATTCCAAAACAGTTAACTCCACAACAATAAAGACTATAGTGTTGAATATAGATTACAATAACATCACCGGAGATAATAGAAATGATTATTTGGTTGTGAACAACTCCTCCGGTTTATTCGAAAACCTTAAGCTTCTCATATTTATATTTAGACTGGAGATAGGGTCAGAATACGAAGCTAGGGTTTCACTGAATCGCTGGTGGAAATAATCATGGGATCGGACCGGTGGGAACCTGAGGCAACAAATTGTTTAAATCAACCTTTTTCTGGTTTACCAAATAAAGACCAAAGAAATTTTATTAACATTTATCAAATTCAAGCACCAAAATAACAAATCAGGAGAGTTATAATAATACCTCGGAGGAGATGTTTCACTACAACAGCTCTCCAAGCACTCCACAACACAGTTTGGGTCTGGATTGACGAATACAGCCACCTTTAAGAAATTAAAACAGCAACATTAACTTGTTTACTATGTCACGATAATGTGATTAGTGAAACCGAAACTTAGTTTAAGCAAACATCGTACCGAGTAACGTTCTTTTCCAACTGGCACCACTCTATGCATTGTTGATCTATCAAAAAAAATTAACATTAGTCCAGAGATGAATCTTCACTACAGATTTACAAATCAAACTAAAATTTTGGATTTAATTGTATTTTTGGTACCGAAAAAGCCCGTTAGTCCATCGCTCCATAAGGTCGCCGATGTTGACAATAAAAGCACTGCGGTTTTTCACATGAAACCCTTAATAAGTTTTAGAGTCCTTACTATATAAATAGTGTCAATCAAAGCATCCTTACTTACCCTTTAATTCCAGGGACATCTTCCCAAACTCTTGGTTCTTTATCTTTATTCCTGCAAACCTTTTAGTATTGTAAACATTATTAGAACAATGACGGATGATAAGCCATTCGATAAGCAAATTTAGGAATTATGAGATGATACTTGAAGCCCCGGGACTCCGTCTGTTGCAAGAAGAGTTATCATTCCAAAATCTGAATGAGCAGAAGCCCCACATGTTACTTCACCAGATGAATACAACTCCCCTGGATAACGTAAGAGGCGAACAACTGTTGCTTGATTATCATTTAACGCTCCCACTTGTTCAAAGAATTTTTCCTCCAAATTCAATGCCAGAGCCACTAGGGAAAGCAATTTTCGGGCAACATCCCTTAAAAAGCAACCAAAAACATTAAAACAAGAACCATGACGATCCACTATACTAGAAGGAAACAACAATGGAAGAATTAGTTGAGAGGAGGAGTTTTCTAAAAGAGAATAAACTAAAAGTTGACTCCAAACCCACTGAGATTATGGTTTAGATCCGAATATCGAGGTTATCAACAAAAATAAATAAAAAAATTGTACGGTGCTAGAGTAAACACGCGTGGCATTCATTTTAACCACGCCGTTTTCCTCTGGCTCTAACTCTAATCGAAAGCGAATGAGTATAACGGTAAGCATAAGCATAATAATGTTTAGTGCTACTTACATGACATTTTTATAGTAGCATTCCATGGCCGGTCTCCAAAGCGGCAAAAGATCTATAACCATCCATAAAACCATAAGATTAAACGGAGTGACAATCAACATAAACAAAAGAAGAAATTCAAGATTATGCAAGAGGTGTTTACCTTGAGAAGGCCACTTATTAGGGTAATGTTTATCCAAAACTCCTTCTGAAGGTCCAAAAGTGAACATCTCCTTGGAATCACCTGATTCAAAAAAGAAGCTTAAATCACCAACGTCATCTTTGTTTCATAAGAGGAATCAAGCAATTTTCATGAGCTGATATAAGAACCTTTGGAAGTCGTGGACGGTTCGTGTTTCTCGTGGTATAAAGGTGAGTAACCTCGAATAGCACTGCGAGCCAACATCATCTTCTCATCAAGAGGAAGAGTGAACAAGTTCTTACTCTCCCTGAACACTTTTTCGTTCAGCTCTTCCGAAACGCCATGATTCATGAGATAGAAGAATCCATGATCGATACATGCCTAAAAAATTGGAAAAAAAATAACATTTAAACAACAACGGATTTTCCCCTGAAAAGCCTT